TAGGTGTCCACTTTCCAAAGTGTGTACAAAGGATGTGGGAGGTACATGTAGTGCCAAAAGTTTAAATCTAAACAAAGTAGGGACAGTGCAGTGTCTATCATGTTAGAGGGTGTTTACACACTTGTGTGGGTGTGTTTTCGCCTGGGTCTTCAACGATGCAATGTTGAAATGATGCTAAAACCTGTCAACTTTGCAAGAACATGCAAAACCTTAATTTTCCTCAGTAGGACCTAAATACTTGTACATGTACATGTACATGTAGTAGCATACATGTGCATACATGTACTTGGTAGAAATTTGCCAGTGCATGGAAATCGGCAATGACACGTACCAGGCCCTGCAAACGTTAACTTGGTGAAGCTGAGTTGCATTGGTCCATCTTGCATGAACTTTTGAAGTTGACACTGTGTAATGTACTCTTTGTAGGATTCAATTGGCCTAGTTGGAGTAACTTGTACTCTACAAATCACCTTTTTGACACATTTGACATATTATTAGAGTCCTTTACCCCTCATGGTTTTTTTTTTTATTAATTGATTTCACTCCAATAGCTTGTACATTGACGTACATGTACATGTACCTTGAATCAAAATCCTCAGCCCTCAAATTCACCTCCAAAATAATCCTTAAACCGTCTAATGATCCCACCTCAGGATTCAGTGAGAATCACAGATTCCAGTGATGGTGGTAAGGTTAACCGCTGTTACATTGCAAGAATAGCATCTGGCCCAACTATAGTTGCGACAGTGCCAACTCTAGTGCTGTATTGTAGAAGTTGAAGTAGAAATGTGTTAACACTAGTTGGGCTGCCCAAGTGTTGCTCATAAATTCCCATATAAAAGATTTGGAAAGATTTTACTGTAATACCTGCAGAATTTTGTTTTATTTCTGAATCAATTTGAAGATTAATTAAAAGTATGAATAATTGATGAGGTGTCTGGGTGATGGATTAGGGTGGGGGAATCAAATAAACAGAAAAGAAAAGAGGGACAGGGCTTTTGGACGGAAAAAAGAATGTCCTTTTTTCTACGTCTCTCTTGGTCTACTATCTTCTTACCATGTCTTACCCTCCTTAATACCTGTTTGTCTGTGTTTCCTTGACCTCACCACTTCTTCCCACTTCTCTTCCTAAGACTTCCTTCCGGGCTAGGATTTGAACCTCTTTCACTTCTGCAAGTCATTAATTCAGTCAGTGATCATCAGCTTCATGGTCTGGGTTGTTGTGGAAAAGTACATGTACTTGTCTCTCAATGTAATAAAGGTGTCTGCTTTATAACTAACCAGAATTAAAAACAAAAATTGTTAGTTAATGTAAAAATCATGTTCTGACATGCTACAATATCGTGTAATGCGCTCATCACAAGATTTCTGTTTTTCATCCATTTTTTCAGGATTTGCTGACTGAATCTCCCCGAAAGTTTGGTCATGTAAAAAGGTTTTTCGTCAAAGAACAACCTGTCTGTTCTTATTTTTACAAGTGTGGTACATGTATTACGGGAAAATATTCCCAAAATTTCTCAAGCTTCTCCAACATGTACAAGTTCATGCAGCTCACACCTGACACAATTCCTCAAATATATGGGACTTCTTTGATAAATGAAAATTGGTTTCTACAAGCACCAGTTGTTGATGACTTTGGCATATGACGCATGTACATGTACGCACTGGATTTTTGTGCTGTAGTTGAATCGGCATAACTACAGTGGAATGCCGCTGTAATGAACAAGATGGGGTCCATGCTAAATGCTTGGTACAGGGTGTTCAGTGTAGCAAAATATACTGCCGAATGTTTCGTTGTCATGTTGAAAGGTGCCCTCTTTAAACCGAAATGCACCCTCTTGTGATACTATAGTTTGCTGTTTTCATGATGTTTTGCTGTTGCATTCACGTTTAAAGTTTCTAAATATGTATATCTGTTAATACGTTTTGTGTTTTATTATATCTTAAGTTACAAAATTGATTTCAAGTTTATCCTAAAAGTTGTGAAGCTACCGCTCAGGATTGATCTCTGATGCATGCTGTGGCAAATCTTGGTAGCTTGTTTATCAGTGGCGTCCTCTTTAGACTAGTCTCAAATAAATAAAATCAGTTGTAGGAAGGCAGGTGGTCGGGATGGCATTCCAGCACCGATCATCCACAAATTTGCTTATCAATTAAGGAAACCACTCACATATATATCTTGAACTCATCATACATGTACCATGAAGCAGTGGTTCCAAAGTAGTGGAAAAAGCTATTGTCATTCCTTTACCAAAAAGTTCTCCTATTTGGAATAAGCTCTGCCCAATTTCCTTAACTGATCACTTTACCAAAGTAGCCAGGCATTTTGTTGTGCAATAGATTATTTCAGACATTCAAGTGAACTTGGATCCTAATCAGTTCAGTAATAAGAAGGGAGTATCAACATCTCATTATTTGGTTAAACTGATTGATCATTTACCTGCTCATGCTGACTTTCCGAAAAGCCACAGTTCTTTGGTTGTTACAGATTTTAGTAAGGCATTTGATCTTATTGATCATAACATTGTTATTCGTGATTAGCTTCACTTGGGCACATGTCCCTCAATCATTTCTTGGGTTAGCAGCTGTTTGACAAAGAGATCACAGTGTGTCAAGTACAAAATTTTTTGTCAAATTTTAATGTACTTGAAGGGGAAACACCGCAAGGTACAAAATTTGGACTCTTGGCTTTTCTTGCTAAATTTAATGGCACTGTTCATCTTGATAATTCAGCTGACACCAATGGTCGGTTACGTAGTCCCAAATGTGTTGATGACATGACTATTGTGGAGAGCGAATGACCCCCATACAATTCAATCTGTTTTGGACGAATTTAGTCAATGGACATTACAAAATAATATGAAAGTCAACCCAGACCTATAAAAGTGCTTGCATGATTGTGTGCTTTATGAAATGTATTCCACAATTTCCTCCTTTACAGATTTCCTCTTCTGATCTCCACATAGCTGTGTAAAAATTCTTGGTGTTTTAATCATTTCAGATCTTAGATGGGACAAACACATTGACCAGATTTATCGCAGAGCTGGCAACAAGATTCATATGCTTAAAACTGCTAAAAAAATTCCACTTATCCCTTGATGGCTTATTAACTGTGTATAAAGGAGTATACACGACCGCTAACGGAATATGCAACACCCTTTTGGAATGCTGGTTCAACTAGCACATAAATCAACAAATTAGAGAGTATTCAAAAGTGTGCCCTTAAAATTATCTTGGGCCCAGGTTATTTACATGTAGGTTACGAGCATGCCCTTTTGAAGGACAATTTGGTCTCTCTCCATGACCATAGAAGATGCCTTTGCGTCGACTTTGCTAGCAAACTAAAATGTTCTGACTTGTTCCAACAGTGATTGCCTCAACCCAGAAGTTCTAGCGTGCAATATCAATGAAGAGATTCAAACAAACTTTCTATAATCAAGTGCAACACAGAGAGATACATGTATGAACGTAGCCAATACCTTACTCTGTCAGTATTTTGAAACACATAAAGCGCCCGTTCTTTCACATGTTTTAACCCCTTCGCGCCAGGATGTGGCTAGAGCCACCATAAAAATTTAGATCCTCAGCCCGCTTTTCAGCTACTATTCTTGGCCCACGCTCGAGCGAACACGGTGAAAGAAAGCAGAACCTGGCTCTTGTATATATGGTAATTGTCCTTTGTGTGTAGCCCAGAAATGAAAAGACTGAATTTGCATCATAATCAACAGCTTCACAATAGTCCCCAATCTGAAAAGAGGCAACGGGAATGTGGAAGCATGAGTAGAGCTGCATGCTACCAAACAATCAGCCTTTTCACCGTGTAATTCAAAGCGTGCAGAGCATGCACGGCCACAAACCGAGAATTTGCTGTTTGGCAGGTGGCCTTCGCGAGGCTGGAATTCTTGGAGTCGGCTTTCGGAAAGAAATTCTGAAAGCCGACATTCAGAAAGAATGTTTATCAGCATTTTATGGTATGTACATGTACAGTGTATGTACATGTTCATGTACTTGTTCATACACCTGTATCTGTTATTATTATAATTGTGTTTAATTGTGTCCAGTTGGGTGTTCTTTTAAAATTGTAAACAATGTAGCAATTAAGCCTTTGGGCTACAGATACATTGTGTTTTTAATACTAGAAATAATAGTAAAAAAATGTTAGTGCAATGCCAAGGTGCACGTGCGGTTTCCTTCCGCACCCAATCATGCGGAGTTGCAAAACCAGTGTCCATTCAGTACCGTTGGCAGATTATAAACGTACATGCCCTGGTTGTTACTAGAAGACGATTTTGAACAAGTACGGACCAATGTACGCAAGTTTGTCAGTTTGTAAGCTAGTTAATTACAGTTGACTCTTCAAGAACTACTGACTTTCCTTTCTAATCCTTGGGGAAAAATGGCCTCTTGTCACTTTCCAACATAAAAACCCCGACTGTTTTATCATGTTGACGTTCAAGAATTACAAACAGCAACTGCATAGTGTTTGGTAGGTTCTGTGCACAAAATATTGGGAGCCAAGGACAATGTGCAGTACAGCTGAATGTTCGGTATAGCGGTGTTCAGTATACAACGTTCCACTGTATAGCACTGTACCAAACATGTACACAGTGTTCAATTTAGAAAAACAAAATCACATGCATTGGTGCATGTGGACTTACAAAAGTAATACATGCATATGCGTGCACCTGTCTAAATTGACCACTGCATGTACATGTAGCTGGCCAAGCTAGCATACCATTAAAGCATGTGGTGTCTGCATGGGCTTGCCGATAACTGTTTCCTGAACAGCACAACTTTCAGTTGCAGTGACTACCGCTTTATGGCAAAGTATACAATTTGAAAGTGAATTGTTATCATTTGGGTTAGTTGAAACGGGTTGATTTTTCTCACGTTGGAAAGCAGAGGTTCGACAAATTTAGGATTGCATCAGTCATGTCAGTGCCTGAATTTATGTGTTTGGTATCATCAGGGTATTTGTTACATTCTTTCATTTTGATCAGGTACTGAACAAGAAGATCCCTGAAAACCCAAGATACAAAGATGTTAAACCAACACTTGATACAGGTAGGCCTTTAACTGATTACCAGATGGGGGTGAAACAGGATTGGGAGGCTAATAATTAACAGAAATGAAGGCGATAGTCGGGATTCCATTGAAGTGGCTCATCTGAAATTCATACTTGTAAATAAAGCCTTTCAAATAAGCTTTTCTGACATATTTATGTGTCAAATTGATCAATTGCTCTTTCGTAAAATTAAAACAAAATCTTGAATGATCCAATGAACTGATCATAAAAGAGTCTCGTGTGTTCAGCCATCTTGATTTGAGGTAAAAAAGAAAACTTTAGTTTAAGTCCGTATTTATTTAGCTTTCACCAGATTGGGAAGTATAAAAAAGAGTTTTTTATCTAGACAACTGAAAAATTCATACAAAATTAAGTCTCCCAATCAGCACATATATTTTTCAAAAATGTACACTCATAGGCCTACCTGGGTGTCCGCGGAACTATTGGTTAATGTTGATTTAGGCCCCAGATTGGTTCCTAATTCAACAAGAACACAACCATTTGGCCCTACCCATAGCAAAATGGTGATTGGAAACGTTCTACTCGCTGCCACGAGTGTCTCTATTCCATGTCTTCCACAGGACATCGCCCGGCTCCCTCCAGCAGATCTCTCGGTAGGTCCGCCGGCCCGACGGGTTTCCGTTGTCTCACGTGTGACTGTTGTGAACTCTTTGCACATTAATACCGCCTCCGTCTGCGTGGCTGTGACCACCCTGGGGTTCTTGTGGAACTCGTCCAGTGGCTCACACACAGTCAGTCCGGCGATGTGAATCTGTGCAGCCATGCACCATCTCCCCCTGAGGTACAGCTTCCCCTCTGATGGTTGCTGCTCCTGTACGCTCACCACCCTCCTGAGTGGCCTGGGGGCGTCGACTTCCATTCCCGCCACCTGGCCACTTTTGTCAGCACTGTCACCATGCTGGGATTTCATATGCCGGGCTAGATAGTTAGCCCATTTGTACTGTTGCTTGCAGTGTAGACAGGGGAAAGTCTCATGCGACAACTTTTCATGCCCCCGCCTGTTGTAGGGCAAGGCGTAAGGTTGCCCACAAACTCAGCATTTGTATATGCCTTTCTCCATCACTGTCTTGTCTGTGGACTTTGGGCTGTTCTTGTGCTTTGCAAGTGTCTCTCGATGGTCTTCAGCTGCAGCTGTGCTGGCGTACGTGCCTGGTGATTGGCAGACTTGCTGCAAGTATTTCCTGCTGTCTGGGTTTCTCGACTGCTCTACCACGGCGAGTGCGAGGCGTACTCTGCTGTGGTTGATTGAGACCTCTGCCGGCGGCGGCGCTGTGAGAATGGTTTGCAGATAATCTCCAGGCCTTGGAGAATCCACGGCTCTCTGCACTTACTCCTTGGCAAGCTTTTAACCTATCTGCGTGGACTACTTGAGGGTGAGAACGAGGGGTCTTTCTGATTGTATACACAACGTCAGACAGCCTGTCCACTGCGACATATGGCCCAGTCCAGCTCAGGCTCAACTTTGGGCAGATTCCCTTCTTCCTCACTTTGCAGTGGAGCCACACAACATCTCCTCTGTTGTACAACACCTGACCAACATTCCTGTCGTAATGCCTCTTCTGGGACCTCATTTGTGCCCCGGTAGCCTCCCGTGCAGCCTCGTGTGCAAGCCATAATTTGGCCTGTAGGGCTTGCACATACACTCTGGTGTATTGGACTGGATCTCTGGGGTGGAGCCAACAAGCAAATCAACTGGCATCCTAACCTCTCGCCCCAACATCATGGTATTTGGTGTCTCTCTGGTGGTCTCATGCTCTGCTGACCAGTAAGCCATAGTCAGAAGGGTTAGATGCTCATCCCAGTCAGTCTGTGACTTGTTCACCCATAGACTCAGCATGGCCTCCATGGTGCAATTGAACTGCTCGATCATCCCGTCAGATCTCGGGTGGTAAGGGGTGGTGCGGGTCCTCCTTATGCCAAGGACGAAACACACCTGTGCAAATACTTCAGATTCAAACTTACGACCCTGATCCGAGTGGACTTAAGGGGAACACCGAATCTAGACACCGACTCATCTACATGTACAAGCTTTGTTGCCACCATTTTAGCAGTGTGGTCTGGCACTGGGTAGCATTCTGTCCATTTGGTGAAATAGTCTCCGACAACCACAATGTACTTGTTGTCTCGTTCTGTGGCCAGAAGTGGCCGAACTACATCAACTGCTATTCTCTCCATTGGCGCTCCAACGTGGTAGCACTCCATTCATGCTCTCTTCGCCTTTGCAGGTGGCTTTCGCCTTTGGCACTGCTGACATTGTGCAACCCATCTATGGACAGACTGCCTCAAAAGGGCAGTAAAAGTCACCTCAGCATAAAACTGCACAATCTGGGCTCTTTTTACAGGGCTGCAGGCTTGGTTGCAGGCTTGGCTGAATTACTCGGCATCAATAGATGGTCACCAGACAGTCCTTCGTTTGGTTGTAAGTGTCCGGTAAACGAAGATAAGAATTTTTAAAGAATTTTGAAAACAGAAAAAATGATAAATATCCCGCCTCAGCATCATCAGCATTAATAACTGCCACCGGCAGCAAGTGGTTAAGGAAGCTATATTCTCAATGGTGGCCTTTGACCTCGCGTCACCCACTGCCTTACTACCCTGAGGTCTTCGTCGTTCTGTTGTGTTTGGACAATATGGTCATGACTTAGTTCTGTGGTGACCAGTGGACCCTGGGCCCTCACTGGAGTATCTGTCCGAGGTTGACATGCGGGCCTCAAGGACGGGTCTTGTGATGGGAGCTCCCTAACCAGAGGTTTGGCTGCCCTCGCCAAGGGGGATGCTACCGTACTCAGAGGTTCCGCTGCCTCCACCATTGGCGGGACGTCCAGTCCGACTGGTCTGAGGCCTGTGTGGTACTACACTGTGTCTGTTCCCACCTGGAATGGCACAAGTATTCTACGTCCAATATGGTGCCGTGGCTGATCTCCTCCTTACCCCAATGGTTGCAGTCTGGAAAACACTTCCTGGACATGGCATCAGCATTGCCATGTCTTCGTCCGGTCTTCCCTTTTACCTCGACTGGCCAGTATCCAGAGGCAAGATTCAGGGTCAAAAAGAACATGGACCCTGCCAGTGAGTCAACATTATCTTCGATGCGGGGAAGTGGGTGTGCATCTTTTGTTGTCACATCGTTTAACTTCCTGTAGTCGATGCAAGCTCGGGTGGACCCGCCTTTTTTCCTCACAAGGAAAATTGGAAAACACCAAGGGCTTTTAGAGGGTTTAGTGACGCTTTGTGCAATCATCTTCGCTATCTCCTGGTCAGCAACGCCTGGCTGGTGTAAGGGAATTTGCTTGGTCTCTGACGGACCGGTTAGGAAGTTGAGGTGTGGATGTGGTGTTGTGTTAAACTAGTTTGCCCAATATCACCGTCCCCAGTCGAAAACACGTCCCCAAACCTTCTCAGTATCGCTGCCAGTCTATCCTGCTTGTTGGCTTTCAGCTCTTTACAGCCACATTCGAAAAGTGAAGCCAGATATCCGGGCACAGACTCTTCACTCACCCGAGGGCCTTGGTGGGCAGGGTCTCTGTGTTCACTACTGCAACACTATCCACGGGTTTGAGGATAGCAGCATCAGTCCCTTTCCTTAGCATGACCGCTTCAGAGTCTAACAGGAACATGGCTTCCTTGAGTCCCAACAAGAGCACTTGCGACCAGAACCTCACAACCCTTCATCCCTGTCAGGTTCTGCAGCACACCCCAACTTGGCAGCTGCACCCCATCGCTCACGACCTGGCACTCAAGCTGCATCTCAGAAATGGAGGTACAAGAATGTTCCAAGAATGAACCTTGTACTGGCCAATTGTGAAACAATCCTCCTCCCAAATCAGCTGGTACCTGTTTCCTCTCAAGAAGTCAAACCCCAGGATGACATCATCACTAATGTCAGCGACCCACACACGCTATGTTGTATCTCAGTCCCTCCAATATTGATTTGCACCCTTGCGCGTCCATCAACGTGAAATGCACTGCCATCCGCTTGATGGAACCAACGATCTGCAGGAAGCAGCTTAGGCTCAAGTTTCGGCTCCACCCTCCCCAGCAGGTGGTAGACAATGAAGGTCTTTGTTGCTCTAATGTCTAACAGTAAGCTCACGGCCATCCCAAACAGTTTCCCACGAATATATAGTCCCAACTCTGAAGACGCCTATTGTATCCCCCTTCCACGTTCAGTATTTGCACCACTGGTCGGTAAATTGTCTGAGTCCAAAGTTGGAAGCTGAATTTGTGGCCCTGTAGTTGTTCCCACTGGCAGCAGAAGTGCCTGCGCTGGCGGCGAGGCCATCATTGCCGGTGGAGGCAGGCCCATCTGGCGACAGAATTGCCTGTGTCGACAGCGACGTTATCCGTGCCGGCGGCAGAGCCATCTCCACCCCCTGCCTTAAAGTACTGGGCCCTGGGGTGTTTATGGCTGAGTTGTCGGCTCCAAACCCAGCTCTGCTCTGTTTAACGGTGGCTGTTCATTTTTCATCACTGGACATTGGGCTCAAAAGTGTTCTGGGCTGCCACATTTCTGACAACCTGACTTCAACTCATCGGTTTTCTTGGTTGGATGGCCATGTTGTTGCAATTGCGATAGCTCCCGCAACATTGCTGTTACCTGGTCAGTTGATGCAGAGTCCAAAGATTTTCCTTCTCCTTGCTCAGTTGCCGCTGTTCTCAACCGTCTGGTCTTCTCTGCCTTACACCATGCCTCTGCCTCAACTTCCACTGCCTCATCCAGCATTGACGGCTTCCCTTGAAACAGAGCACACTTCATTTCAAGGTCGTCCAGAGCATTCTTGAACATTTCTATGGCAAAGCCCTTCAGAAAAGTTGATCCACTATCAAAAAATGCACGACGGACCAGCCTTCTTATGGCTTGACTGAGTTCACCTGCACACCTACTTCTTGATGACAGTTCCGCACGATGATGGATTTGCTAAGTCGCTGTCCCAAAGCGCCGCTCGAGGGCCTTTGCCAGTTTACCATACGACGAGAGTACCTCCTTCGGCAAGGAGCAGACGACCTGCAATGCAGGTCACTTCAGTGCAACCAGGAGGTAGTCAGCTCACTGTTTGTTGTTCCAGCTATTGATCTCACTCATGTTGAGGTAAGCTTCAATGTAAGAGGCCCCATTGTACTCCCGAGCCGTTACCCATGGTGCCGCTCCGATGCATGTCACATTTGCGTGCTGGCCAAACACATTTAAAACGCCAGGTCCACTAGTAGCAGTGTATGTGTGCAATGCCATGTGCCTGCCTGCATGACAAAGCATGCAGCCTCTACGTGCCCAGGAGGACAGGCTCCATATTGAAAGTAATTGCATCAGAGTGGTGCTCTGAGATTTGAGAGGCTACGAGATTTCTTCAACCTGTCCAACTCGTCCCCCGTAAGCAGAGTTGGCGTCTCCACCGAATTACACTGCCATTTATGTCCAGATTTGGACCCATGCGTGCCCTGACATGAGCTCTCAGTCAGGGAGCATTCCAGCTATTCAATGTCCTTGGAAATGTTGTTGATGGCTTTGATGATGCTCCGTGTAGATTCCATGTGACTTGCCATGTCTTTTCCCCAAAAGACATGAATGTGAATAATCCCACCACTGCCACCAATTATAGCGTGAAATAGTGGGGTCTTGTCCTCCTAATCAGCAACACCATAAAGGGGACACAACTCACAGGATGTACAATGACAAAGCTTCTTCACTTCACTCGAAATTTGGCTTACAGCTTTCCACACTGCAGTCAGAACAACTACACCGTTCCAACTCTCCTCCCAACAGACATGTATCACAACTTTGCAAACCCTTCCCGCACCCACCAAAACCACAAGCATACCGAAATAGAAACCAATTTCCATTGCGCACAAAATGTTATACAATCACAAAAGAAGCCAGTCAGGGTGCTCCATGGGAGGCCCTGCACCAGCTGCCCTCTAGATCCGCCGATGCCTGAGGCTATTCTAGTGGCAACAAAAGCTATATTAACGGTCCGTTACAGTAGTATTTGACTCAAGAACTCAATCTGACGCAAAAACCTACAAGTGTTTCAAAATTGCATATTCTTCTGTAGAAACAGAATTAATTCACACAAGGCACAAATTCTGACAAACTGAACCTTGGTTACAATGGTCAAATATGAAGTACAATTCTGCAAATAGAATTCTGTACAATGAAAATTACACACCACAAAATGTAACCAACAATATGCTTGTTAACAAAGTCAAGTCAGTGCAGGGGAAGACACAAAGCAGATAGTGACCATCACAACATACATTATTTTGCAAGGATGAACACAAACACAAGATCTCCTGCAGGAAAAAATACCTGGTCCATCTGTATGAAAAAGGGCATGACACCAATCAATATAGAGAAAAGTAAAAAATGCTCTATCCAGCTGATCCATGGTGGAGTGGATGTTATATAATACGAGCATTATATCCGGTCTACAGTGCTATTTTTCTGTAGCGAACCGGTCCCATTGGCAAGTACATGTCTACATGTACATGAACATACTGAGGACGAAAGTGAGCCTGAGATCTGAATTTACTATGGATGTTTCTATTTTTGTGTTCTTACATGTACAGGTGCTAGCATGTCCAAATATATGGCCAAGATTGAAGAAATTAGGAAAAGTAAGTGAATCAAACGGAAGCTTTTTTTTCAACATAGTCAGTGTGATAGGTTTGGCCAATTCATTATTCAAGTGAAGCCAGTCAGTCTATAGCACTCCAGCTACCCAAACAGTCACTGCATATGCAGATTTCCCATGCGCATATTATTCATTCCTTGAAAAGATTTGATCACCCGTGGTGCTCCCTTACCTCCCACAATGCAGCACAGCCTGGCTGCCATGATCGTCCTTCTTTTCTCAGCGCGGTAACATAACGGGTGTGTCTTTCGAGGCATCTTCGATTTATCGAGGTTCCATTTTTGGCTACACGATTCTGTGTAGATTTGATCACCTTTTCTTCCTATGTAAGTAAAGTATAACCTGGATTTTATCCATTTATTGGTAAGAGTGTTCATTTCATGTATATTTTTGTGTTCTTTCTTCAGTTTTCTTGTATGTGCAACCTGCAGGTCTTTACTATCTGTACTACAAGGTTCGTTCGAGCTACGCCGTGTCTACCCTACAAATGAATTATAGGTTTTAGCCGGTTGAATTCAGGGGGTCGTTGTCAGGATCTGTCATACTCCCCTGTCTTCTCCGGCTACCAGGATGTGGAAAAGGCCTTGCTGTCAACTGCGGAAGACCCAAGCAGCGACACCGCCAGGATCTGGCAAGGACCCTGTGTCCTGTCTACCTCTGTCTTCTTCAGCAAGACATGATTCAAGTGCTTGGCCTGCTGTTAGCCACTTCGCCAGAGGAAGACATCAGCCATGACTTGTTTAAACGACATGGCATGACTGGAATCTTCCTGGCCAATTTTTCCAAAAACTCCCGCATGATCGTTCATGTGTGGAGATATTCTAGTCTCTAGCCAGACCTTGGCACGTGTTTGAGTCCGCTCCAGCCTGACTGTCCTCCGCTTAACCACCGGCCAATCTATGGAGCACCCTCGGCTCTTGACTAAAGAACGGCCCTACTTCAGTCAAAGCAAAGTGACAGTGTCTGTGGTTGAAGATGACACCAATTTTATCGGCGTCCTCACCGCCTATGACATGTTCCAGAGTCCGGATCCTCCGTCAGCCTCCCTTCCGAAGGAAGACACTGACCACGCCCGTGCCAGTCAAGCAACTGCCCCATGGGTTCAGATACTCTTGCAACAGGGCTCCCATTTATGAAGTAAGTTCTTCGCCTTAGCGGACTGCTCCCTTTTGTAATCCGGAGTGGCCCCAGTGTATACAATGTCTCCTCATCACCTTCCTTTTATCTAGGGGCTTCAAGAATAGTGTCTTGGAGACAACTACTCTGTTGAGCACAGTGGAACACTGATACAACAGGGTCCTTGGAACTTTACAAATTCCTTATGTTATCACCTATTAAAAATGATAAATAAAAAAATAATAATAAATTCTTGTCATAGATATGACCTTGTATTATTAATGCTTGTCCTATCTGTCTTTGATTATACATATATTGTGAGAGTCCATCGGGCTCCCTCCTCAAATGAACATGAGCCACTGTCCCACTTTTCCAGGCAGCCGTTACATGCAAATGCAACCGAGCCTCCGACATATCTACAGTGTGGGCATTCAGACGTAAACCATAAGTTAGCACTTTCCGGGCCAACTTTCCAGATCGTTGCTCCAGTGAATATGCTATCAGTACAGGGACCCAATCCCGACTCCCTGTCAAAGCCTTCTGGAGCTACTCTTGCTACCATCAGTAGGCCCGCCCAGGCTACAGGGAAGTGAGTGCATGCTTTACCTGGTGATCTGTGATGACCGCTATAAGTCTAAACCTGCCGGCATTCGAGACTACATCACTTGGCATCAAGACAGGAATGAACAAATTTTCCAGGCAGACTTCCTGTCTTTTTCAGTTCAGTCACAGTGAATTTGTCATTGTGACGCAGACCTACCGTTGCGTCTCTCCAGTCCACATCCCCAGGCATCCAAACACAACGTTCTTCAAGCCATTGGGATTTTTACACATTCCTTGGCACCCCATAATCCAGGGTTTCCCTAAGGAGCCCTGTGGGAGAAATTTTGCAAATCTATTTCTACTGCGTCTCACCATGTACAACCCTGTAATCAGCAGAACAACCATTCGGTGGCCCCCACTTATGTGATTCCTTGTGAGCACAGATTCTTATGTGGCCTGACTCTATGGCCTCTATGCAGGCCATTTATTTTTTGCCCATGCATGAAAATGATTAAAGTTTTCTGATGCAGACATGGACGTCTTCAACACCTTTCCACATATCCAGGTGTTATACACTGCCGCTAAAGACAACATATGCATTTGACTTAGCTATCCTTTTGTTGGGAACTCCTTGTTTGATAAAGACTGACATCAACTTTATCTAGGTTACAAGAAGTCTTTATCTCGGCCTCTGACCTATTTCATTTCTTCCCCTCTTATCGAGGTAAATTCCTTTGATGGGAAAGGAGAGTTCTCCTTTCCGCCCAGACCTTCACTACAGTCATGCTAGAGACTCTGAATGATAATGTCATCTCAGTCTTTGAGTATGTCTTGCGGCTTTCTTTCTTTTTCCTTTTTTTCATGTTGCCAACCAAAGCCACATAAACGGAAAGGACAAGGGATCATGCAGACAATCCACATGGTAGGGTCCAGTGACGTAGTGGCGGACACACTCTCCGTGGGATGATAGAGCAGCCTTATATAGATCTCTTCACTTCCTTGAACAACGCTCAACTTCCCACGATCTTCCTCTTCAGCGGGACTTTCTAGCAACACTGCAGTCGTGGCTGCATGGGACGTCATCTGCCCACCTTTCAAATTTGTGACAGCAGATTTTAGCATTGTGTTACGTTCGTCAATAGCCAGGCTTTGGCTCCAGTTAACCCTCCTGTGATTGCCATAACCGACTTCCTTATGTACTTCTTTCACTCAGAGCTACAAATATCTACGACTCATATCTATAGGTCAGCCCTAGCTGCCATACACATTGGTTTCAAGGTCAGTTCAACTGCCCTTTAATATCAGCATGACATTCCATTATCTTTTGTATGATATGCTTATCCAGTGTCCCCTTGTTGGGAAATTGGTCTGGTCATAAGACCTAAGCTAGGTTCTCTAGATGCGTCCTTTGAACCCTAAATGATGCCTGCCATACGCACGCTCATGTCAGGTTGGCTTTTCTCCTGAAAATGGTTACCTCTTGAGGAGGCAGCAAACTATAGGCTCTCCCCATTGCTGAAGGCCATCTACTTTGGGAGCTGCATGGTGTTCACCTCATTCCTTCAATCGGCTTCCTGACGAAGGATCAGACTCCCTCACCTGATCCGTCTGATATCTTTATACTCTCCGCCTCCTTACGTCCTGGATAGGATGCGGATAAACTTTGGGGACCTGTTCATGTCCTGAAGTGGTACCTGACTGAAACGATAGCACTAAGAGGGACGATATTACCCGTCGCTTATCACTTTCATGAGACCACACCGTCCAGTGGTGTCAATACACTATTGCCTGCTGGACGGCTTCAGCCATTAGATTTGCTAATCCAGTCTGGCCATTAAGCTCTGATGAACATAGTCATTACTACATTAGGGCTCATGACGTAAGAGCAGTATGTTCATCTCGGTCTTACTCTGGAGATGTTTCCATTGCAAACATCTGCAAAACTGCATGTTGGAAATCTCCTTCCACTTCCTGCAACTTGAGGGATGTCCTGCAGAGCGACATCACAAATAGCAGGACAGTCCTACTATCTGCACAGGTCAGAGGGACCTCCTGTAGGACGGACGACAAGTCATTGTGAAGTTCCTTTACCATTTCTTAATCTTATGCATTCCTCTTTATACTTATAATATATATGTAATATACTGTATTACTTTTATACTTGTATGTAAAATTGTATTCTCGGCATTAGATGTATTGTTGCCAACCTCTACCAAGACCGATGCTACTCTGCATATGTAGTGACTGTTTGGGTAGGTAAACAGTCCTCTCCCACCCGTCCTCCCCACTCTGGCTGCAAAATTTGGAGTCGCTTTCAAAAACAAGGATGACCATTGCGGCAAGGTCGCGCTGCATTGTGGGAGGTCAGGGTGCTCCACGGGTGATCAAACCTTTGAGCGGATGAATAATAAGTGCATGGGAAATTTGCATATATGTAATGACTGTTTGGGTAGGTATTCTTTAGTAGACCCGACCCACAATTGATATTGGAGAGGAATTTCGTGGAAAATGTTTATGTCATAAAAAGCAATATTGTCGTTTACGTACATGTAGGTGGAGGGTTAATTGCATCTACTGTACTTGTGGCAAGATTCCTTGTGTTTTTATGTTGTCATGGCAATAGTTTTGTGTTATGATGCTAGTTCAGTTCATGACAGCCAGTTTGTTGGTAATTACATGGCACGATGTCAAAAAGATTTTAATCGGTGCGTCACGAGCTGCTGCAAGATGCCGCGGCACCCCATGGTGCATTTTCCAAGTCACCTGTCCACCCTCTACATGTGGCGAAGCGTGGCACCCAGACCAGTCTCCAGCTCATTAAATATCCTTATTGTGCATTTGCATTGTTAATGAGCAATGTGAAAAGGGAAATTCCTCTCTCACACAAGGCTCGCCACGACACGCCTATGTCCATTGTCAATTTCAGCCACAGAGCGAGTCCTGTGAAAGTGAGTTCCAAATTCCAAGCGAGGGATAAGTGGAAGGGAACCCAGAAAAGTGTCTGTGTCTATGAAATTGAAGCAGATCAAAACTTCAGATTGAATTTCATTGTCTGAGTACAGTCGTTTTCCTACATCCAGATCTGAAAATTATTCAGTCTGCCTTCAGCTGAAATAGACCTCAATTCCAGTGCAATGTGGTCCGTACCCTGTGAGCAGGAAATACATGTACATGTACTACAAAACTATTTCCAAAATGTAAATTTTTTAATTTGGATGGAAGATCGACTACATTAACAATGACACTATTTCAAACGAATTCCCTGAGGAGCTTTTTATTTAAACAAAGATTGACAACCCACTGACTGTGTAAAATGTAATTCTACGAGGTAATGGGGCTAGTTGCCTTTTTTAGTTGCTGCGTCTTTTGATTGACAAGGCCCATCTCGACATTTCTTTTTTACTATAAACCTGGACAACATGTGGCTATTATTTTTTCCCCACCCCACCACTTAATGATACCAAGCAGAGAACCCACCAAAATATTTTTTCCGTGTCCCATTACGTACTGATTATTTTTTATTCCGTGCATTCAATCCGCCAAACATATTAATCTGCCCCCTCTCAACATTTCTTTATCCAAACCTGGATCACGTGTGGTTTTAATTTTTCCCTGCCTCACCACAAACTGATTATTTTTATTCGGCGCATTCAATCCTCCAAAAATATTCATTTTCCTGGAAAATATTGAGTCCTGTTAAATTTTTCTTGAGTCTGGGAAAATATTTCAAAAATGGGGATAATTGTGGGGCAGGAAATATTCTGAGGCCAGGATTAGTTCATTTGAGTCGAGTTACATATTATTGAGTCCGGCATCCAATTTAATGAATCTAGGAGAAAAATATTCTTAACTACAGGAATAATATTTTTTTTTAGTCCAGGAAAAATATCCATGGCAGGGAAAACAACTAAAAGGGGAGGAAAAAACATACATGTACATGTACATGTATTGAGTTCTGTAATATAATATAGTCTGAGTCTTGAGAAAGTTTTCCGAGTCCAGCAAAAGCTCTGAGTCCAATGGACACTATTGACAGTCCAATGAAGCATAAGTACTGACCCAGGGGAAATATCGTGGGGGGGGAGAAATATTCCGAGGGCGGAGAATATTTTTTAGATACTCCTGGGTCCGGTATATAATATTCTGAGTCTTTGGAAAGTATTCCAAGTCTGAGACTATTTTTAGTTTCGTAAAGTGTGAGAAAATATTCTAAGACTAGAGAGAAAATCAAGCCATGGAAAAATGATTTTGAAAAATAAAACTAATACCAGTGAATATATTCGGGGCCCTCCAGTAATATAACTGGGTTTGTCTCCTCTCTACCTGTCCCTCAAAAGCACCATCCATGGTAGGGGAAGGTAAAACTTGATGTCATTGTGACCACAGAATTTTGTTTCTGTCCAGTGACTGACACTGCCATTATCACGTGATATTACAGGTATCTGGCTTCAATTTTTACAACCAATTAATAATTAGGAATACATGTATGTACAGCTAATATTTCGATTGGTTTTTAGTTTTCTTTTTAACGTCTCAGCGATTGATATGTTGACAGTTGAGCATGGAGGATCAGGAGGGGGGGTTGAGGACCGTGGTTCAATAAGCTGGGAAGGCTGTTAATAGTGAAAATTGCAGATGAGTGTCTGTGATTCTGTCGGCACGCTACAGCTGCCAACAAGTATCCGGAATGCAGTCATCCACGAAAGCATTATGCAAATGGTAACTTTGTTATGCAGGATCCCTAAGAAGGTTGGCAGTGCCGAGGGTCGGCCAGCGCGGACCCTCGGCACTGTGGTGCTCGCCGCGCCAATGAAAATCTATTTTACATTTACTCTATCACTTACTCCCTGTTGTTGAGCTACACTTTCAGTTGAATTTTCTACATACATGCTCATAACCTTACCCCTTTACACCCAGCGGTTTTAAAACAACATCAGATAAATTTATTAAAATGTAGTTCACTTACTTTAAAAGATATGTTTTGCCATGTTAAACATTAGACTACAGGTACAAGAAGGATGAGATGTTCAAGAGGATGAAAGTGACAACCTTTGTTCAATTGGTAAAGTATTATTCATTCAAAATGATATGGGGTGGATTTTAATTGGACACAGCAAACAGCCAGAATAACAGGAAACTAGAAAATACATGTATCCACATAACATACTTTAAATGTTCAGGCTCACTCACGTCTTGTATGACAAAGGTGCCAACAAATTAAGTTCTTTTATTAATGTTATTGTTGTTTTCTCAGATACTACAAGTTAAGGCCTACCAGCAGCAAGAAGCAGACAACCGTTTTTTGGGTATGTTTCTCTGTTTGCAGTTTCTCCCTCAAAGGGCTGGGTTCTTTTGACTACATTGCTGAGAAGAGAGAGGGTAGATTTTAACTAGAAGATCAGCTGGCCTGTTCCAGGTTGTTCAGTTGGAAAGTACAAAGTACTTTGAATAAGTTATTTGTTTTGATTAACTATGGCTGAATCACCTCGGTTTCACATCAAGTTGTAAAACCACAAAAGGCATCAAATTTGTTCCATTAATTAGAATGCTGATTGTACTCATTTTAAATGAGATACATATTAACTTAAGTCCTGTAAATTCGATGGGACATACTGTACATGTACATGTATTTCTCTTGTGTCCAGTGGCTTCAGATTGGTTCATTATTGTTCTTGTTGAAAAATAGAAACCAGTTGTATGCCTGGACCAATAGTACTGTATCACACCAACTGCTGTATTACTGGGGTGTGTTCAGTTGCACAGCACTTTGTATTTGTATGCATACCACTCAAAATATACAGGGTATGTATGTACCAGTACATGTATGTGCTGTTGAACATGCCCCTGCATTGCCTGTACCATCCTACACATGCATACATGCATTACTCATTGCACAATCAAAAGATTTAGTCTGTTGCTCTTTGCACAATCCCAAACTACTTAGTGTGTTACTCATTGTGTTACCCAACCCATTTCGCTGGAAACACTCTCTGACTAAACTGCCTACCATGCCTAATATTTTCTGACTAGCTTGGCACTCAATAGTCGTGTTTGTCTTAACACCATCATCGTTGATTTTCTGCGGCCAGACTGGAAGTTTTAATTAATTAAAATCACAGAGTCGCAAGCATCAGACAGGGAACTTGGCAAGTTGAAAGACGGACAAAATGGAGGGAGTGGGGATGGCAGTGGCAGCCCAGTTCCCTCATTAGCACTGACAGAGGGTGACTTTGGAGAAGAGGCTGAGATACATACATCTCGTTCAACATTACAGAGGTAAATTTTTAGGTAGTTATGAGGAGGTATGGTGGGATGATGACCATGTGATCAACCAACATGCTCATTTCCCTTCATTGCAATTTTAGACATAGTTGAAAGTGCTTAGACTTGCGTGCAAGCAAGAGCTTAAAGTAGAGCTGTAAGGAGATGAATTTACAAAAAGTGAGACTTGCAATACTTTCATCAGATCATCTGATTTAGTAATTTTGTTATTTCTGTCAGTCTCCTGAAGACGGACAGATTACAGTGTTTGAAACGTGGAGTTATTCCCTAGTTCTTCTCAGAACCACACATACTCAAGAAAGAGATTGATACATGGTGCAACCGCAATCATTTTACTCATTTATTTCTGACTTGAAAACTCAAAAACAACTAGGTCTTGTGTATTTAGGGTTTTATGTGTCTTTTTGGGGGGATTCATTTCATTTTGTGCCATTTTGTTTTTTGTCTGATACTACCTTTTACAGTTTTAGTCCGGTATCTGTACATGGAAACAAATAGTTTAAACCTCTTTCTAGTGCTGCAAGTAGGTGCCAAGGTTAGGTTCGGGTTCGGTTCAAACACTGTCTGGAAATTTTTTGCCGAACTTCGGTTTGGGTTCGGACATGTATACATGTGTACATACATTTACATGTACAATGCACATTAAGACATGGAAGAGCTCGCTACAAACTTGCCGTATATAGTACTTCCATGTATAAAATATGTTAATACAAGCAATGAATCTCCTCACCATACCCTCTGTGAATAACTTTGATGCAAACATAATTTTTTCTCAAACTGTTTCCCAAAGTTTGTTTAGGAGTTAAAATTCCCTAGAAAGTTTGCCTCAGAGGTGTGACAGTTTGCGACCGTGTTTTACAGACCAAAAGCGGTTGTGTTTGGACTATGCTTGACTCAACAAAACAATCGTAGGATATGTGAAACTGAACAAAAAACAGCATGCTCAAATGGGACTTTCCCTTACAGGATACAAGATAAAAGTAGATTTCCAGCAAATTGTGTTTTGGTTATTTTGCACGAAACAGATTCAACTACCAAACTATGGCTTTCAATTTATTTGAAGAGCCTTCAGCATTCTTTCCAAGACGGCGCCCACATGGCCAAAGGGGTTATTTTCCGTCAGTCTTTTTCAAACGGATAACAGCAATTTGTTGAGATTTGCAAACAACTTAAAGATCTGGCAAAATTCCATTACAAGGTATTCACACTACGACTTCGATCAAACATGATTAAACAAAAGACAACTTAGGCCACACTGCTTGAACCAAATTTTGCCATGCACTGGATCGCTGCACCAGCCTGTCTGGCAAAATCATTTTTCCCTCTGGAGTCAAGTTGCCTTCAATAGATCGCGCATGAGTCCAACTGTGATCAGCATCCAATCAATATTCGTATTGCACAGCCATTTATGACATCATTGGCCTAACATGGAATGTAAGGGCATGGCGATCACAGATTGGCAAACATAATACTACCGGTAAATCTGAATATACATAAGGACAGTTGGATTAAGTGAGAATTTAGAATTGTTGTGCTGCGAAAATGCCGTAAAATTAGTAAATTCTCACCGCATGCTTTTTACAACCATTGCGTGATGCGGGGCCAGCACAAGTTTACTGTACATACATTTACAGTGTATGTGTACATGTATGTACATGCACATGTGCTGAGGGCTAGCGCCGTGCGTGCAGCATAACTCGTTATCCATTTTTCATCACGTTTGCAAGTTTTCTTGCATGCATTCTGTGCACTAGCCATGCCATATTAAAGCCGAACATCCGAACCGACCAGTTTGGCTCGGTTCGGTTTGAAAGTGCCATGTTCGATAATTATTGGTTTGGTTCAGCTGCAGCACTACCTCTTTCCTATGTCGGTGATTCTGATGTAATTGCTACGTCAGAAAAGCCCTAGTGGCATACAGTATATCTAGTTCTTTAATTCAATTGCATTGCATTACATTACATTTATTTCCACCTCATGGCAAAATACAGGTACATTGTACAAACAATGTATGAGATAAAAAGGCCACCAGAGGTGGTAATACCTTAAAAGCAAAGCTTGTGTCAGACATGCCATTACAAGAAACAAACAAGACAGTAAAAAAAGAAACAACAATACACACAGGGAAAACATTACATATATACAAAATGAGCATCAAATAAAAATAATGATGAATGAAAGGGCTACGGGAAGGGGTTACATGTACTTGATCACATATCAAACTAGAACCCTAGAGACTAGGACACATGAAATCTATCACATAAGATAAAACTTAAGTTTCTGCATGAAAGTGTCATAAGACCTTTAACCCTTTCGCACCGGATGACTGCAAATGCAGCACCTGGAGAAAAGTCTAATTACCGGGTGACTGCGGTAGCCGCAAACCTCACATGCACATCCTCACGCTGCTTCGTCAGTGTATTTCTGGTGAATATCATGCTTGCTATGCTTTGTTCCTGGTGCGCGTCGTGTGTGGTTTTTTTTTTAGGAAATCAACTATGGCCAATGAGGCCATTATTCAGTTGTTCTTTACGCATCTGGAGAAGGAAATTGCAAGAGCTCAAATTGTGCCTAGTGTTAATGCTGCTCAGATTTCTGCTACGCCAGTTAAGAAGTGCACTTCTAAGCTTAATATCACACCCACCGCAGAACCTGGTTCCTCAAGCTGCGCCAGCGCCTCAAGGCCTCCGCAAGATCACAGCCTGCAAGCTGCTGTCTCTCAGCGACAGTTGCGTCTTTAACCAATGCATTTACTGCCTCTACTCGCGATTCTGCTGTTCCCGATCTTATGATTCCATATGAGGAAATTGAATAGGGGGAAATCATTGATTTTAACCCAGTCTTTGAAGATTCTGTACCCAAAAGGGACAACAATGATTTGTGGACACACTCTTTCAAGGGCAAGAAAATGATCCCATGTTCATGGAGCTGGCAGTCCTTGTCAAAACAAAGAAAAGGAGGGTCCAGCCATAAATAATCAGTTGCTTCAAACTGTTAATGTTCTGATAAGAGGCAAAATTCAAACCGTAGATTCACCACAAAACCAAGTTCAGTCGTTAGGGCATACCTAGATTCAAAGCTATTCACACATTTTTTAATTGTGTCCCCTATCAAAAGGGAATCATCTATACAATTAGTAGAAATGTGACCATTATTTTGTTAAAACATCGATTGCTGGCTTCATAACCTTCTTAAATATACGTGGTGCACTGGACAACCCAAAACACAAACAGGTAAATTGCCACAGTTTATCTAGCCACTGAAATCTCAGAAACTGTTGATGTTCTTGGGATATGGGAATGGCAAATTAAGCATCTTTAAGATCTACTGAAGCAAGGTAGCAGTGTGGTCGAATAAGTGTCAATGAAAACTCTGTTTCCATCTAAAAGGATGGTACTTGGCAAATTTGTCAAATGGGTCTCATCGAGTCATCCTTCCTTGGTATCAGAAAAATATTGGAAACAGATCGGCCAAGGCAGGGTTCTACTTGCATGATTGTGCCTTTCGTTCACAAGGAATCTATTTGTCTATTAGTGCCACGTCAAAATCTAAAAACTGGATCTGGGTTGGGACAACATGCTGAATCAATGTGACAATGTACAACCATGTCCAAAATCCATTCATCAGAATTAATTTTAGTCCAGGCTGTAATAAAATGTTTCAATCTTCCTGCTATGGGGATATCATTTGAGGTACATGTGGGCACTTACTAAGTGAGTTGCTTTTCCATCTAGTCATGCCGTTGATTACTTTGAAGATGACCCATGGCCTGCTTCTGCATTGTCGACTTTGCTTCCAGAACCATGTCCTGGAATCGGATACATTCTCTGGACACTCCTCCGGTACCACCCACAGAACCAAAAGCACTATCACTTGTAGCTCTTCTAATGTCATATATCTTATCTCGTGCAGCGTGTGCAGTGTTCAGTATGTTGGAGAGACTAAGAACACTCTCAAGAAGCGTTTCTATGGTCACAGATCTACGGTCAGCACCAAATGACTAGATACTTTGTAGGCCACAATTTCAACCTTCCTTACCATTCTACGTCTGACATGATCTTACAGGGCATAGAATCACTTGAGTTCCTAAAGATGCTGTTCGCTTCAACAGGGAGAAGCTTTGGATCAAACGCCCCCGTTCCATACAACCCCATGGCCTGAACATCCAAGAGGGAACCTACTAATTAACCCTCTTTTCTTTCCCTCTCTTTTGTCTGCACATTATACCCCCCTCCCACTTGGGGTCCAGTTCCATTCATTGTATTTTTCCTTTGATCTCTTCCCACCTTACATTCCTTTGTTGTTCAACCATGCATTCATCCATGGTTGGTTGATTCTCCGTTTGCTTGTTTGTCCTGTCCACTTGTCATTTTGCCTTTGAGAAAGATTCTGCTAGGATCGAAACATCAATCCCGCAATATTTTGAGATTTAATATTTAAATTTGTATGAGAAGTATTCCCCCAGACAATATAACAGTAAGAGAAATAGGTGAGTATTAACCACTTGCTGCTGAGGAACCCTGTTTTGCAGTGTTTTGGGCAGCATGGCTTTACAAGCAGAGCCACAATTGGACAAAAGAGCTGGTCCGCGTAACAAAAGACTGTACTCGGAACAAAAGACCTGCTGCTGAGAATCACCATCATTTTTTGGCTTGCATTTGGGCAGTTTTAGAGGATTGAGGGTGAATGGTAAAAGTGCATGGTTGATTGCAAAGGATGCCATGCATGAAGGTCATGGGTTCGACCTTGTGTTGTTTTTGCTTAGTTGTGCATAAATTCAGCCTGATATTTCTTTCGAATCAACCGCACTGCTCAAGAATGCCATTCACACTGCCTCAACATAATGATAGGAATTGCCAGAGGATTTTGAAGGATTGAGGCAGTAGGAACACCTCCAAGTAATATTTTGAAGAAATTTTGGAGGAATTTGGAAGATTGAGGGATAATCTAAATTTTCACTGCCGAAATTGGAGGATTCGGGAGGATTGAGGAGGGTCCCTAGCAAAAAGGGCCTAGGGGGTTAGGGTTAAAAAAGAGTAGAGGCCTGAGCAAAGAGCCCTGTGGCACTCCACTTGATATATGTTTCAAATCAGACAGGTTAAAACTACTACATTGTTGACAATTTTTCAAAGAACTTGTACACCAATCATAGGCAACGACACATACACCATAGTAATTTAATTTGTCAAGAAGAATATCATGATTTATAGTATTGAAAGCTTTTGATAAATCTAAGAATATACCAATTGAAAAGATGTTTTTCTTACTTTGTCTGCTACTTCAATAAGTGCCATTGAGATGGCAAACCCATGTTGAAACCATACTGGTTGGCAGAGAAGAATGAGGGCATTCTTTTCTTGAAAGTTTCTCCAAAATCTTAGCGAAACAAGATAGGACCAAAATCTGTCTGTAATTTGTAAGCTGAGCTGGATCATCTTTCTTGAAAAGTGGGGTGAATTAAGCAATTTTTTAATTTAATTTCTTTGGGGGGGAATTGACTTTTTTCCAAAAACAACTGTCCAATTTTTTCCTGTGTTAAAGAATTCTCACACCAGGTCTCAGAGAAGGGTGGTAGAAGCATAACTAAAACGCTGCTGCTTTCAATTCCTAAAAGAAAAAAATTGGCAGTATGTCTTCAGAAGTGCCTTTCCCTCACCCTCCCCCCCCATAGCCCTCATATAGTTTGGTGACCTTTGATGATTTGATTCAATAGTTGCTGCCACAGTGCTTTCTACTAGTACATGGGGCCATCCTTTTGTAAATTGATCATATGCCTAGATTTGTCAATAACACTAAAAATGTTCTTGCACAGTGCAATGGTAAATTTATATTGAATGACATTTTGAAATTGACTGTTTTTGCATTTTTTGCCCTATTTTAAAATTACATCAACCCTAACTAAGAACTTTCATCCATGCAGTGTGATCAAAGGCATAGGAGAATTTGACGTTGGAAACAACTCTATTCCACCCACACCGTCTATTCCTAAGTCTGAGGAGTACGACAACCCATATTTGCTTCTTGATCTGAGAGACTCTGATGCATACAAACAGTGCCACCTCATAACAGGTAATTAGCTCATACCATATCGGAAACCATACTAATTGCAGTCTTGAACAAGATGGTTTTATTTACCATTATCCCCAATATATGGGCCACCAAAACCCGAACTTTCCTGGATAATACATGACTGTAATAGACCCATTGTGCCCACTACACCATGTGACCATCGTGGGTATCAACCCCATAGCAACGTGTGTTTTGAGTGTTGTTTACAAACAACACGGCCAAGTTAGGGTATAGTACTCAGTGCATCATTCGTTTGAGTTTTATTTTTGGTAAATGATACTAATGAAACACTTTGCTTTTGGTGGTCGCCCTGTTTGTTGACCTACATGTACTGTTGACCTACATGTATGTGTACTGTACATGTAAGTCAAGTGACTTAGTGGGCGCCATCAGTCTGTTCAAGTAATCTGTGCTGTAGTCAATCCAAATTTGTTTTAGTCAGGAAGTTTTTCAGGTATTATATGCCTTGCTGTAGAACACAGGCAATGCAATCAGAAGGGATGGTACAAACCTGTATGAAGGATGAAAGTGTACATCTGCTGTTTTGCGGTCCATTGCCAAAGAGTAAATAGAAAGTTCTTAGGGGTGCAGTTCCAAGAGGTGCAGATATTCTGGCTCTTTGCAACCAGAAAAGCAGATTTCACATTTTTGTAAAAAATGCTTATCTACATTACCTTTCTGCCACCTGAAAGACAGATTTACATTCTTTGCTTGGGGATAAAAGCTGGATATCCGACTGTCTGCGTTCTCTTGTCAGGGTAGCAGAAAATCTGATCAAACATTTTTTAATGCTTTCAGTCACTTAAAAACCAGAGTTTACACAGCCACCTGAAAAGTGGCCATCAGGTTTTTTTTAAGACAAACAGAAGCATCAGTTGAATATTTGTATGCAGGGTGTTCTCTTCTTTTTGATTATCAGGCAAGTAGATTTTATTTGGGCAGCCAAACAATGGCCGTTTTCTAAATAATAGTACCTTTGTAAACATTAGATTTTGTTACTGCTCTTTTGATGACAAACAACCAGATGTCTGCTTTTCATTTAAGGCTGATTAAAGATGCAAATATTCAACCTTCCATTCAATTGAACATTTGGTTTTACCAAATTTCCACAAAAGTATGGGATAACAAAATATCCACCTTTTTTAAAAATAATAATAAAAGAAAATGACAAATAATTTTGGGCTTATTGTTGGGTGTATGCTTTTTACTGCCTTTAAGTTTACTCTCAACACTGCACCTTGAAATATACTTTTGGAGTGCAATAAAGCATTTTGCTAGTTAAAGTGTAATAAAATCAAGTACACTGAGTTCTTTACATTAACATAAACATAACCATTTGAATTCTCTGTACTAAAGACACTGTTGCTATACCTCGTGATTCGGGGCAAGCTTTTGCTTGGTTACATAAGCGACGCCTTGCACCAATAGACTGTTTTCAATGGATAAGAAGAGTACACTGGAACCAGTCCATTCCAGAAATGGCGGTCGCTACGCAAAAGCTTGCCCCGAATCACAAGATATAGCAACAGTGTATTCCGTCCTGGAATTCAAATTGTTATGTTTATGTCCAATCAGATAACTCAGTGTACCAGATTTGATTCAAATTTAACTCACAAAAGAGTTATTTTATGACTAAGTAATTGAAATGTTCCTTTTTTATTTCATTAGTTTTCACTTCCAAATACTGCTGTATCGAAAATCCATATCCACACATTTGATACTCAATTAAACATTCAAATAATCAGTACAGCCCTACTGTTCTTCTTCTGTAACACTTGTCCTTGGAAGACTTGGATTCAATAAAGAGAGCATTAACAGTATGTGCTTGATTAAAAATACAGAATAGTTTTTATTTAAATCATGATTTCCTTTTTTTATTACCAGCAAAGAATTACCCTTCTGCTATGCTATCAAGATCAGTCAACAACTTCACTAAAGACATCCTTGCTTATGTATCCTTCAGATTGAACGTAAGGTACTGGTATAAGTGCTTAGATTCTGCAGGAATGGAATGCATTCGTGCATTGTGTTTTTTCTGTAGAAACATTTGCTTCACAATTTGTACAAATTGTTTTCAATTCTATAAACAAATTCTTACAATATTTACAGTATTTTTACATCACTATAAACTGTTTCATTCACCTAAAGTGTAAGATTTAATGATTGGATTGGTTTGGTTTATTATGTACAGTAGTACTGTATTTGTGATTTGTCACAATTTTCTTCTGCCTGATAGAGTATTCAAAGCGTTTTTTTGTCATCAAGAGCAATCCTGAATTTCCAGTGAAGAAGCCTGTAAATTACTCATTGAAATGTTGGAAAAAAATGGTAAACAGCATAATTTGGCACTGACAGTTAACAGTTTACCTTAACTGAAAACAATTTAGAAAAACAAGACAGGGAAAATCATTGTCATGTATGATGAAGATGAGAGGATTGGTCCCATGGCAGCAACTACATTTGTGGAGAGGGATTTCAACAACACATTCCTTCTGTCTGGAGGTAAGTTGCAGTCAGAGGCCGAGTTTTGATTTTCAGGGTCAGGTTTCCTTCTTGATTTTTTCTAAAGCTTTAATATTTATTGAGAGAGCATTTTCATTAAGCACAATATATGTCAAAAACTATTCTCTTTTTGTTAAAACAAATTGTGTAGATCATAATTCAATGGCAATAGTCATCCACAGTTTCCATTATTGAGCCAAACTCTTAAATTTACCCTTGCTGATTAATTGTGCGACTTAAAGGTGGTACATGTAACTAGTGTATGGAAATAATTGATGATAGATGTAGTTGGTATAATCTGTAAAAGGTGTTTTACCTTTACCTTTGTAAGAGAAAAATACATACTGGTTCTGTGACTCACAGGCTGTCACTTTCAAAAATTGAAATGTGAAAGTTAGCACTGCAAGTAGGCTCCAAGGTCCAGTTCGGAACAGTTCAGAAATTTTTAACGAACTTTCGTTTGGTTCGGGTTCGGACATGCACACACATGTACGTACATATACATGTACAGTGTACATGTACAATGCACATTGAGACATTGAAGAGGTCGCTATGAATGTGCCGTACTGTACTTGTGTAAAATACGTTAATACAAGCAATGAACCCACCCCAATCCACGAGCTACTTTGATTAGAACATAGTATGTTTTTAAAACTGTTTCCCCAAAGTTTGTTTAGTAGTTGAAATTCCATAGAAAGTTACTGTCGGAGGTGTGACAATTTCCGACCGTGTTTTGTCGACCAAAAGCGGTTGTTTTTTGACTCAACAAGACGATCATAGGATGTGTGAATTGTTCTGCAGCGGCAGTGCTGCACGTTGCATGTTCTCGGTTGATTATTAGTGAATTGTCACCACATACTTTTACAACCAACATGTGATGCAGGGCCATCATAAGTTTACTGTACATGTACATGTACATTTACAGTATGTGTGTACACACACATATACTGAGCGCCTGTGCGGCATAACTCGTTATCCATTTTTTGTTGCGTTTGCTTTTATCAAGTTTTATCAAGTGTGTTCCGTGTGCTGTGCCATATCAAACATCAGAACTGGCCAGTTTGGTACGGTTCGGTACAGTTCGGTTCTGAAGTGCCATGTTCGATAATTTTGGTTCGATTCGGCGTTTGGCTGCAGCACTAGTGAAAGTTATCCAGTTACACGTGTACAATGTAGCTCTGCCTTGCCTTTCCTATCAGTCAGCCTTTTGACTATTTAATCTGTGTAATCTGATAGCTAGCAATTAACTTGTTTACGTGACTGCCTATGAAAGCAGGGGAAGTGGACAACCCTTTTTGACTGTCTGGGATTTTTTTACAGTGGCAGAGTTAATTCCTTTACAAAGGCAATTCCACACCCAACAGTCCACTCAACTACCAACTTCATCTACCTGAAGGAATTGTTACATATATTCTGCTAGTAGATCCATGCTGTGATATGTGCATTTGAAACTCTTTGTAATGCTAAAATTATTTAATAAATTGATGTGCCCATACCAATACCCGAGCAGTGGGATCTGCACTTTCTGTTTCAGAATTTTTTACAGTCCAATTTTCTGTTTCAAAAGTCAGAGCAACTGACATGTCCCAAAGAGGTAGATCAAAGTTGTTATCCCTCAACCCCAGTATTTGAAGCATTTTCAATTCTCGCTCTAGGTTTGAAATTGGTAGCCGAGAAGTTTCCCACAGGTTTGACAACAGGGATGGTACCTTCTTCATGTAGACCTCCCCCTCCACCCCAGATGGGTAAGAAGAAGCCTAAGGAACGACCTCCAGAGCCAATCCGTCCAGCTAACCAGACAGATTTCACTGATGATGATATCCTTTATTTCTTTGGATTGTTAATATTGAGGTCCAAGATGTGAGCACTTGAAAATTACTTTTTATTGCCTACGTATCATGTGGACCATCCACCCATTTGCAGTGTTTTAGTACTCGTACTCGGGCTCATACTCGAGTACTACTCGAGTACCGTTTTCAGAGTACTGGTACTTGTACTCGGACGTCCAAGTACTCGTACTCGAACTACATTTCTTGTACTCGGGCTACAAAATACTCAGAACTCGACATCCAAAAATTATACTCGAGCATCAAAGTACTCGTACTTGAGTAGGTTAGTACTCTACTAGTTAAACTTACCACGGCCGTTAAAATAAAGCACAAAAATATCGACTCCAATGACCCGATATTCGATACGATACGGTTCTGACAAAGTGAAGGCCGAACGTGGGACCATTAACGTATACGACCCAATCGTACTTAACCAATCATGTATGTAAATATTGTGGTACTCCAGAATGGTCCCGCAATTTACTTGGGCATTGGCAGTCTGGTTCCTGGACCTGAAAATTCTAACAACGCACCCAGCATACAGAAAATCACAGGCATGTGACTAATTTAGTCTGGAAAATAGACTTCGCCGCGCCATGCACGTTGTGTCAACTGCTGCAATGCATGTGTAGTGACCGTGACATTGCTAGCCAGATCACTTGTTCGTGTAGCCATGTCATCTGCATTTGGTATTTCTTTTACACAGTGGCAGGTCTTAGAGTCTCTAAATTAAGATAAAACTACTTTTGAATTAGAAGTACCTGTACTCGTACTCGGAATTAGAAGTACTTGTACTTGTACTCGTACTCGAAAGTGCAAGTTCTTGTAATCGGAAACCAATACTTTTACTCGGCTGGCAAAGTACTCGCCCTGTCTTTGTACTCGGCAGTCAAAGTACCCGGCAGTGCTTGGTACTCGGAAAAAAGTACTCGACTACAACACTGCCCATTTTGGTTTTGTTGCATTTGAATAATGGTCACACGGATACCAGATGTAATACAAGGAGAACACCTGTTATTGTAAGTATTAATATTGATATTGACTTGTTGCACTATTTTAAATCAAACTGCCAGATCAAGTCCATGACTAGTGAAACAAATACACTAACAAGCAAGTAAAATATTGTGCAAATTTTGCTTAAGCCCTTGGTGGGTCATTCTGTAAATTTGGGGTCCAGTGTGTGACATTTTTATGTCCCTGTAAAGGGCCAGTCACACAGGCCTCGATAACAATAATGATAAAGACCCTGAAAAGGAAAAATCATCTGAAAAGGTCGGACTGCATAAAATAAAAATTTTTTTAGTATACCGATGTGATGTCCCGATCAGTTTTTAACCATAGCAATGAAGATGTTGAAGACGAAATGGCCGCCAACAACGAAGATGCTCTCTTTTTTCTATTATTATTAAACTGAAGGTGTAACCAGAGATTACCCAGAAGTGTGTGGGTGCATGATATTTTTCAGAATAAAGAAGTTGGAGAATACAAAACTTTAATAAGGGAGCTTTCTTCTCACAAAGATAAATTTTTCTAGTACTTCAGGATGTCCAAATCTCAATACAAGAGTATTCTGGAGATGGTAAAGCACAATCTCACAAAAATCACAACACAATTCCGGTCCCCAATCAGAGCAAGGGAGAGACCAGCTCTGTGCATGAGGTGAGTATAGAAGCACAGTGCCAGAGTGCTCTGAAAAACTGCTCAATGTCATCCTCCTCTATCTCTTGTGATTTACACCTGTCAACCTCTAGACTGGAGTTCACCCTCATTCTCTTCCTCATTTTTGATAAACCTGGCATGGGGGGGACTTGACTCGGTTGGTTTGGACGGTTTGCTTGTATATGGCAATGCAACGCCTTCAGATTTGGCTACAGCATTGATGGGTGCACTACACACTTTTGCCTCTTCAGCATCCATTTCCTCAGTTTCCACCTCATCTGGAATTGGAATATTGCTTGAAGTTCTGCAGAAGAGAAGAATTAATCCGAAACAAACATAATGTTTTGATTAATTACACATTGCAAAAATATTACATCTTTTAAGTTAGCACAGCTCCCCAAAAGAAACTTTATAACCAAACATCCCTACCACAGGAAAGACCTTTCTATCATTTTCTTATCAACAGAATATTTGTTTGCTGCTCTTTAGAAAACACAACATCAGACGTTTTATTTGAACAAAAGAAAAGAACGGATGAAGATTGGTAGGGAGTAGCAAAGTTAACCACTCATATTGAACTATCTAGAAAAAATACCGAACTCTGTGTTTCAGATGTGGGATCAGGATCAGTTTTTATTTCGTTTAATATATGGGCATTATTATGAAACCAATATAATTTTGAGTTTCCTGATAATACATGTAATACCCAAAAGGTGTTTTAAAATAAGATAAATTGCATAGAGGATACAGGGAAAACAAATCACACATGTTCTGGTAGCAGCCATTGTTTACAGTGTCAAAAAGGGGCAGGGTACTCTGTTATTAACTCCGTCTATACTCTGTTGTTTCATCCACAGACCACACTCTGTCCATGGAGGATTCCTTCCTCTGTCATATGATCATTATTTAGCGCCATGTTTAAATTAGCAAAAAATATTTGCACTGTCTATACGGAGCTGATTTCCCTCTGAAGTAAACCTATTTTAAGGGAAATCAGCTCCACACAAAGTACAATAAATTTGTGCAAGAGTCAAGATTGCACTGAAAATTGATCAACACCGGCATCAGTGAGTACTGGCATGATGGGAATAGCTGGTGTGGCTACACTGGCTGCACATTGTTTTTGTAATTGTAACCTTACCTGGTATTGGTAACAGCAAGTCTTACATGTCTTAAAGTTACTTGGATTTCTTCCTCAAAACCCACTTTTATAGGGGACTATGGATTAAGCCCAAATCTGGCCCATTTCATGGAGGAAGAATGACAGGTACTCGTAAAATACCCACACGTCTTGTTGGAGCACGGCCATATGCATTATTGCATGATATGGTACAGTCATTTGTGTGCTTGAGCCACCAAAAGGTCAAATGTTGCCAGACTTTTGTGACAAATAAACATGTATGAAATGAGCCCAAGCAGTCACTAAAACCATCCACAAGGAGAAGTCATTTCTGGATGTGAAGCAGATGTACATTTAGGCTTATTATGATTGGACTGGTGAATGACTAGTACAGTAGTAGGACTGGTGTAGTGGTAGGACTGGGAGGCTAGGCCTATGTGTAGTGCAACATTACGAGCCAGTACTCACCTGCCTTCACCTGAAAAACGGTCCTGAAATGTTTTGGAACGTTAATAAAACATGCTTATCACTGCATTGAAGTTTGTCTCCAATCTCTCCAAATGTCTTGCTTTTTACTTATGTCGACAATGGACTGGGTTTGTTTTACAAAATTTGTTCTTTTCGACTTCTATAATCAATTTTTCGTCATCCATTTTGTTTTTTGGGGGAAGTGATGTAATTCCAAAGCTCAACTCTGATTGGTCAAAGGAAGTTTCTCACCAAGAAAAATCGCTCTACAATCAATTCAAACAAACTTTCCTTCTTTGGGAAATTCGTTCACGTCATCGTGTACTGTGTGACCGGTTTAACTTATATGAAAGGAAATCGATTTGTTTTTTCATTTTCTTTGTTGTTGTTGTTATCGAGACCTGTTTGACCGGCCCTTAACACTTGACATGTGTAATTTGATAAAGGTTATATCAGTGGAATCGACTTCTAACTATTTTTACTTATTTGGCATGTATATGTGATTTACAATACTTAATCACTCATTGAAATTCAAGAATGCATTCTGAAGTTACAACATCATATGTCAGATGTGATGGGAACAGATAAAACTTGGACATTACTTTTTAGAATGACCCTGGTCTCATACGATGCTGCTGGTATAAAGATTGTAATTAAACCCGATAAGCCACATTCTACATGTACATATACTGACTTTAAATCTAGCATTGGTACCAATTTTACCTCATCAAAAGTGATGTCATTGAAATTAACCACTTCATACCAGATGACATGTGAGCATGCAGGGATTTCCTGTGTTGTTTAACCACTTCCTGCCGGGGACTCCGGAATCAGAGACGTATGGTTTATGTGCGTGGCCGGGTTCTCCGAACTTGGACAAAGGAAACAGGGCCCTATAACAAAAGACCGTACTCCGAACAAAAGACCGTACTTCGAACAAAAGACCAGGCTGCTGGGCATTACTGACATTTTTCACTTTAAAAAGGAGTGATAATCCAGCCTTGTTTTGAAACCGTATACCAGGGTTTGGAGCATTGAGAGTGAGCGGATTACCACTGGGGACAAAAGAGCTCCACCACCACAGTGATGAGCCTCACAAGACCGCTGCACGCTAATCTGGCCCCTATTGAAAAGAGGTCAGCAGCGCACTGTGGCAAGTTTGTGAACAAAAGAAAGTTACACCACATGATCTGGGCTCTTTTTACAAGGCTGCCAGCCTGGCTGAAATACTTGGGCGTCAGTGAAGGTACCTGTCAACTTAGAGCAGTGCCTAAAGATTACTTCATGCGGCTATAAACGACCATTTAATGAAATGATGAATTTTTGAAGGATTTTGAAAATGGAAAAAATGGCCCAGCATCATCAACATTGAAAAATGTCCCGACATGAAGTGGTTAAACACATTCTGGCAACTCCCCTATGTAGAGCAGAGTGACCTCCATACTCGTCCTAATGCATGATTGATTGGCCTTGTACACACACACCAAGCTGAAACTACTCTGTGGACGTTGAGCTTGTGTGGAGCCCTCAAGTGGCTGTAGGCTACAGTCAGGCGCTGTAGTAAGTGGTCATAATGTCTTCAAGAAGTAATAATATAGTAAGAAAAAAAATCACAAAGCGTGAAACACTTGACCACCAAGGAACAACATTTGTAAAGCCCAGCTTTTTGTTGGACTGTTGTAATATCTTGTCATTTTTCAAAGGTCATTGGGACAAGTGCAGTGTGAATATCGTTGACAGGTGTGTATAATTAACTTGAAGGCTTAAACATCTTAAAGAGTATCGCCTTGTTGCAGTGTTTTAATATGTCAACAAAGGTTGAGATAAGTCAAAGTCTTCCTTGACAATTTCTTTACATTTAGACAAGCTTCAAGGCCATCTGGAAACGTGCCTTGCCCCAAGTGACACTGGAAGTAAGTATTCGACTGCATCCAAATCTCTTGTGTCCTGCTAGGTCTAGGTCTTTACCGGGTCACTCTCAGGTCACTTAGTGCAAATGGCAGGCTGGCCAGTATTAGAGATTATAAATGGACACAAGATAAACCCACGCCTGAGTTTGATTGGTAGATCGTTGATCACGTCATTGAATTGTTCCCACCCCCATTCCATATCTATCATTCACAGTTTTAAAGAGGAAAATAATAAAGGAGAAAGCCAGTCCAACTTTGCAGGGTAATTAATCTGTATCGCAAAATGCTGGACATTACTATGCAAGCAGGGCCTTTTGTTCTAACAACAGGATTTATGCATGTGTTGTATAAATCAAATTATGAATGTTTCACATTTGTGCAATGGTAAGAGTAATTTCATTCAGTGACAGTTAAATCCTCTGAGGGCATACATTTGTCCAATGAAGGATAGACAACATTTTTGCGAGTGTCTGCTCAGGAGCACAGGCACATACAGTACTTGTACCTTTATTGTAGCAGTGCAGGCATCATACAGTCAGCTTGTGAAATCATACCATAGAGCTGTATCAAATAAGACAATTTCCTCTTGTCGATCTTGGCGATAGTTTGAATTCAAAAGAATGTCTGTAGAACATACAATTAGGTGGCCTGAATTTTAGAAAATGTGCAGCACTCAAGCACAACACATACAGGCAACATATAAGCACATTTTCCAGCTCATTTACTGATTGTGCATTTTGGTTTTGCCACATTGGATTTGATATTGGCACAACTGTGTGGGCACAGTCTAGCACTGTTCTAAATTTCTTTAAAAAAACCTCAACTATATTCATTAGACATGATATATAGATATTCTAAAGATTTGTTTTAACTTCCTGAGTTCCAACATTTACTTGACTGTTGGTTCAATTGTTGGCAGTGTATTAGCTAGTGAGCCATGCAGGCCGTGATAGCATGGCCAGTTTTGAAAAAACACCGGCAAAATTTTCAAGCACGGCTTATATTTTCAACTCAAAACCATGCTAAAAAAGTATCAAAATGTGCTTCAGTTAAATGGAATTCCATGAGCACAATTCAATAGATCATTCTTTGAAAAGGAAAAGTTGATCCATAGTTGATGGAATTTCAATGTTTTCGAGTTCTCTTAAAACCAAGTGATAATGCACCATGTGTGCACGGACACACTAGCGCTTCCATTATAGTGTGGTATACGCTTTGTTTCATGTAGAATCATATCTTCATGAGCACAACCAAAAAGGGAACCAGTCTGTCTCTCACATCGGTGATAATGCTGGTTTGTATAAACAGAAATGGTGTGAAGGACATGGGAGTGCCGTGAGCAAGTGACTTGTCCCATGACAGAACTTTGACATCATGCAGTCGTTGAAAAGTTTAAGAAGATTGAAAATTTTGGAAGGATTTCTTATTTTTTTTCCTTTGTATATGTCTTTCTGCTTTAGTATCTTTATTCTGATATCACTATTTTTTCACCGTCACCTGAAGTGCTTTTCCCATCTGTCAATTGCTGTGTTCATGCTGCAGCTGCCGGTCCATGTAGGCACCTGTGAACGATAACGCCACCAATCATGTATTGCTGCGCTTTATGAAACTCTTATAATGTATCAAATATCAAAAATTTCGAAAAATCACAGTGTTTGCATCAAATCTGTCGCATATTTATTGCACAGGTATCCGGGACCTGCATTAATACTTCATTAATACCTTGTCAATAAAAATGAGAACACTGTTATCAAGATGAAATGTACACCAAATGGTGGGAGACTGTGCAGGGAAACGACACTAGCGATGTTGTAAATGTCCATGTGGTTAAAGTACTGAGGCACATGTACCATACATATACATGTGTACAGTTTTGAACGTATTGTACCTGCTTGGATTGTTTAAACTTAGAGGCATGCTTTCCACAGTGGCAAAGTCCTGAACAGCTACTGGCAAAGCAAATGCCTTTTCCAGTCAGTAAATCTAAAGGTTTTTTCCCAAACTAGGCCTAGCGCCTGCAAGAAACTCATAATTTTTAATTGATTATTGCCGTGATCACCTATTTTATTTCCACTGTGCAAAAAAGTGATATCCACTTGTGATATACGCTTATAGGCTAAACTATGCTTGAACAGACTGCTAATATCTTTGGTGCTATTGGATTAATGAAAGCATTTGGTGGGGGTCTTTCAAGGTCATGATACCACATCAACAGCAATAACAAGAAAATTCAAACCATTTTAGCTCTCTTTTACTTGGGAAAAATATCAAAAATGCCTAAGAGACTACCAGACCATATAAAGAAGCTTCTAAGGCTCTTAAGTGGGCCTTGGAAACCAGCCATCACAGACTTTGCATTGCGCTCTCATTTTGTGTGCTTCGCAAACAAATTCTTGGCTCTTCAAGATGTACTCCCTCTTTCAACAATCCCAGCTGAATTCCTTATCATTGTTTTAATTGTTTTAAATTGTCCAACAGCCCGTTTGAGTCGTCAAACTCCACAAGCCCAAAGCTTGTCATCCACAGTCAGCACAGCAAGATCTGGGACAGCCTCCTCAAGGCTTCACTCAAGCCACTGGAAGTAGAATGGCAAGAGACAAGGTGAGGCCTTACCATGTGGAAACAGAATAGCAAGATATATGGTCAGTTTGCAAGGAAAAGGTAATCTGAAGTCATAATTTTACAATAAAAAGCCCCTGCAATTATGGTTGGCAAAAGTAATCTCATCTAAAATATCATTCAGAGCATAATTTGCTCAAATTGTGAATTTGTGTGACTTTAAGGGTAGGTTGCACCATTGGTAAAATCAGAAAAAATGAAACTGCTGAGTTATCTTTGAAAAATCTTACTTGAAATAAAGTAAATAACAGCCTTGATCAATTTAAATTATTTCTTCCCACAATGCCGTCATTTTTGAGAAAACACTATTCTTCTCTTTCTTTCAGTCAGTCGACCATTGTTTAATTTTTTCTCATTTTAAATACGATGTCTGTTCACAGGTGCCGATTTTTGTGTGTGATGTGTACAGATGTTGTAGGAGTCGTTATAAATAGGTAACACTAAAAGCAGCAAAAACACACTGGTGGAAAATCACAAAACACATTGAAAGCTGAAAGAAGATGAAAGTAAGTGCTGAGGTACCGTATAAAGTTAAAGAAATTGGATCACTTCAGAATTAAGTTTGGTGTACAGAAAGGGACTTTCTCAACGTGAAAATGTTGTAATCTCGCTATCACTCTCGAAATGTAATGGTATGGTCCAAATCGTAATTTGGCAGCCGTTTTTGAGCTCTGTGCACTGGGAGATGATTTTCATCAACAAAAACTATGATTTCAAGAGTTAAACCACCTTTAGCTAAATTATTAGGAAATTGAGAATGGATTTTATATTTCCATTGATGTCTGAACTGATGTGAAAGTGTGGAAAAAGTTTGTGCATATACTCTTGTCGTGATATGAGTCAACTGCATATAAACTGCAGTAACATCACTACTCAGTGAAGTTTTTCCATGATCCCATAGAGCTACATTGTCAAAGAGGCACATTACTTCAAGGTTAATTTACTGAGTACTCTTTACCATTGAAATATGCTCATTTGAAGGGGCAAGACCACCTGTCATGCCTGTTGATCTTCAGATGGACCTTGCAAGTAATTTGTACGTTGTTCTGCTCACTCAGAATGCCCTGTAGTTCATGGATTTTGCACAAGATAAATTACAAAATCTTCAATTTGACTGTTAAAAAGGCTGCCGTTTTTCTGAATTTTTCTCAAAGCAGTTAACTCAAACTTGAAACAAGTCAGTGGAATGACAACTGCCTGAACTTTTACGCCACTAAATCAGTCGATCTTGTAAAATCACAGCAAAAACCCAATGTTGTGCCCCCTATATGTACATGTAGCTAGCACACCTTGAGTCCATTTTCCCACTTTGGTGCTTTTTTCTTGAGTTTTAACAAATTGTGCAAGTTTTTTTGCGCATACTAATCCTAAACCAACCAAGGAAGACTTTTGTGGGAGCACCACAATTGTTTCATGGTACCCAACACACCTGTGGCTTGTTTGGTTGGACAATAATTCACCTGTTGTACTTAAATTACAATGCTACTTAAATAATTTGATATGAAATGCACATATTGGAGTAACAGAAGTGCCTTGGGTCTAATTTCATTGGGGAAAATGTTTTGTGTAAATATTAAAAATACTTTGCAATTATGAAATCTAGGAACCAATGAATGTGCATGAAATGTGTGTAAAATAGTACCAGGTATGTCTTGCAGTGGTAGTGTTATACAAATAATGAATATTTATGAACAGGGGTAAGAATAATTTCATTAGGTGGCAGTTGAAATGTTCTAATACTTGGGCTGAATGACACAATTCTTTCTTCTTTCCATTTGCACATATGCGAAGTATTCATTAAATCCTCATGTGCAAGATGCTAATTTAATTTCTCATCCTGAGATAAAAGTGCAACATTTGCATTCTGCAACTGTAATTTGGACTGGTTATCAGTGTCGGAACTGGAGTGAAATTTCTGAGGGGCATCCTGGGGTGTGCACATTTTTGTTTAACAATTAAGGTTACACGCTCCCCATAGTTAAACCACCACTGTTTGTTTGAGGAGTCACAGCTGGGCCTACTGAGTGCCTATGTAGTCCAATAATATATTCCAGGGTTTATCGTTGAATATGTCATATACATGTCAGTGACATGTTAGTCAAATGACAAGGGATTATTCAGGTATTGGATATTATTGAATGAATAATTTTACCACATGGTATGCTGTGCTTTCCATGGGTGATAAAATTATCTCATATTTTTCCTTTTGATTACAGGCTTATTACAAATCCGGAAACGGTCTGAATTTTCTGTGCTGGCAGTTAGTAATTTGTTGAGTAGCCTTACTGAATGTGTAATCATAACCATACTTTTCATGAAGAGCAGCAATAGCCTTGCCTCCAGACTTCTGTACTCTACACATATGCACTGTCAAAAACTACTGCACAAAAACAGAAGTTATTGCACATTGAAATAAAATTACTTAAGAAATCTAATTAGCTTTGGACAGTATATTTCAAGTGTAAAAAATCACTTCTTACACAATGAACGTGTGTTTCTCACTTCAAATGTCCTAAGAAATAGTCAAACATTTACATGTGTTTTGTGTTTCTATGAGTTGCACATGATTTTTGAAGTACACTGTCGGCAGTTCATGGTGTTCTCATATAACATTCTGACAAATTGTGCTTGCCTACAAGGTATAATTCTGCTGAAAACCCATTTCCTATTTTGACATGTTTAGATTTACAAGCTTGTACATGTTAATGTATGTTATTGTTATGTAGAACAGAACTTTCTACATTAACAGTAATTGTACATTGATTAGGTCCTGAGGCATATATATATGGCATATACATATCATGTACAGGCAATACATTGTTGTCATAAAATTGTTGGCTAGTTCTTGATGTAATAACAGTCATTTTTGTACCACATACATAAATAAGTAAATAGAGGCTGCAAATTGGGTGTAATACCACCATTTTTATCATTTGACATATTTTCAGGTATTGCTATTCACTAGCATGCATTAACCTTAACCATGCCAAAATGTAACCCTTTTTTGTAAATCAGTTTCCGTTGGACTGTGTTGGTCCGAGTTACGAACAAAAGACCTATTTTCCAGCCATTGTGATCTAATGCATTCTTCAGGCTGCACATTTTGCCGTTTTTTGGATTCTGGTACTGTACATTCAGGAAAATACCAAAAGAAAACCAAACATGGTTGAGGTGATTGTGCATACTGTTGTTGACTTAAACCCCTTGCTTTCGGTTGGATTTTAACTTTTGTGTGTTTCTGCTACTTTTTCTCTGTTCTTTACACAATTTTTCAATATATTTTGGCTGAAAGATGCTTTTCTTGAACTTTTCAATCAGTTTACGGTTCAAGATATAAATTTTCTAAGAATCGTGAATAGATTTGCAATTGAATTCTGTCACAAGAGGGAAGTTTTCAAACCTATATGCATGTATTTAACTTCCCACCTATTTCTTACTACATGTAATGTGATCTTCCGTCTTGTATAAACTGGTCATTTGCGTTTGTATAATACGCTTCTTTTAATTCAGAGCTTTTTTTCAGTCATTAGTCATGGATCTGTATGTTTTAGTTGTATGTCACAGTTGCATAGTTTCATGTCTTAAAAGTCTTTACCATCCGTCCTGTTGGATCATTTCTTTGCTATGGACATTGCGTATGTAACACCATATGCGTGTACATGTACATATAAATGATGGTGCTTTGTTGTCTTACATCGCATGAGGACATTTTGCATTTATGCTCTTGTTCCTGTGCAAAAGGTGGAGTTTGTAGTCTCTTCTGCATGTAAAAGCTTTAGAATGATTGTGAAGGTGACAAGTGTTCAGTACAAGTGCTGGGCCAGTCATGACTCCCACACTGATGGGCGGGGGGTACAGTGGGGTCTACCCCCTCTCCCCGAGTTAATTTTTTTTTTTTAAATGAAAGGTGAATTTTTTTTATAGTCTGCATAATTTCCTTTCCTTCAAAAAGCATGCAAAGAGCTAATAATGTAGCCTCACCCCTCAAAAGCCATAAAAGGTTACAGGAATTCCTAAATTTAATAATCTTTTTCTAGGTGACTTTTGTTTTGGCATTTCACCGCATTGTAAATGTTTAATGTGTTTATTTTTTCTCCATTTTGTAGTTTCTTGACTGTTCTCACTTGTTTACTGTACAGTGTGTAAAATAAAATCTTCACAGAGTTATCAGTGACCAAAACATGTTTGATTTTCACATTGGATACAGGCTTTCCCCTTGCATCTACAACCATTCTTCCCTGGCTACTCACACAAAATATTGTAGACAAAATGTGTTCCTGAAAAGTCAAGTTTAAAGAAAACTTGAAAATACCACCTCCCTCTGCCTGCCAACAAGCGTTTTTATAGTTACTGGGGCACTGACCCCCCCCCCTCCGACCAATACAGCACCTCCTGAATACACTAGACTGTAAGTAACAAACAACCTGGCATTGCCAAAATTCAAACTTTTAGTTTACTTTGCATAGTCCAAGCATCTACATGTAGGTGAAAGGAAATCAACTTAATGTTTTACCATTACAAAGAAATGATGAAAGTTTGGTTATAATTAACATTATAGCCATTTTGAAACTTGTGAACGTATATACATGCACATTTTTTCCAGCAGCTGTGAACACAAGCCATGAAACTTTTTATATGCACCAAGAATTTGAGATACTAGCTAAACTTTACATGTAGCAGGTCTGAGGCCAGCTGGTTATTAAACTGCACTAGCCCTACCAGCCATAGGCCCCCCGGGAGTGAAAGTGTATATGCATTTCTCAATGCTTCTTTCTAACATGGGAGGATAAACCTGTTTGTAAAAGCAAAAAGATATGTTGAATGAAGTTAACACAGCACAGCAGAGGATGTATGAACCAAACCTGGTCTTATTTTGCAATCAATTCCACACTTCCATAACAAGGCAAACTCCAGAACTTAAAAGGTCTCATATTTAACCACATCACGCCAGGGGCATTTATGAATGTTGATGATGCTGGGACGTGATAATTTTCCTTTTTTTTTCAGTTCCCAAAATTCTTTTTAAAAAATCATATCTTCGTTTAATGGACACTTACACCCAAACGGACTGTCTGGTTTCTATTCTAATCTGACAGACATCTATTGACGCTGGAGTATTTCAGCCAGGCCTGCCACCTTATGAAAAGAGCCCAGATTGTGCGGTGTTACATAATTTTCTCTTGTTCACAAAACTGGTACAGTGCGCCGATGACCTCTTTTCAATAGGGGCCAGATTAGCATGCAGCGGTGCTGTGTGGCTCATCACTGTGGTGGTGGAGGGGCTTTTCTCCCCTGTAGTAATCCACTCCCACTGCCCCAAACTGTGGCATACCGTGGATTATCTCCACTATTGAGAGTGAAAAAAATGTTGGTAATCCCTAGCAGCCTACTCTTTTGTTACAAGTACGTTTTTGTTACAAGGCCAAGTTCCCTCTGTCTGATGTCAGAGACCCCGGCTACACATATAAGGAATACATGCCCGAAACTGGGCTCCCCAGCGGCAAGTGGTTAACAGTGACTTAGTTTTAGGGTAGGAATAAAGAAACCTCTTCAATTAATTTTTCATGTTTTGGGATTTTGACTAGAAACAAACTTTGTGGACAAAGGGAGTGGGCACATGTACAAGTGCATTGAGTGATACCCTGTCTGCCACTTGCAAGCAGTGCACAGGAGTCCTATTCTCTCTGTCTAGGCCTTGTTGTGTATTGACATCAGCATTTTATCCCAATAATTGCTGCACTACCGAGCACCTAAAAACTAAATCAGTATTCACCGTGCTAAAAAAAGAACACATTACAAAAGCAAAATCTGCAATGGTCCATGGCTGTTTAAACTCACTTGGGATATACACCTATATGAAAAATCAACCCTGAAACCCAGATTTACTCTTGTTCACCCTAGATTATGGAGGTCTTGAGTGAGCACATTTGACATAACAAAACCAGTTGGTATTACCAGCATGTTGTAGTTTTTGGATAAATAGTTCCATGGGGCATTCCCAGTTGGTCTTCTATATATGGCAGACCACTGTGGAAATAATATATCAAGTACATGTATAAAGGGCACTTGTGGACTAGTTAAAATGATGCACATGGGAATGAAATTTCTAAAACATCATGTAAAATACATGTTTGTGGGTTTTGTTCTCCACCCTTCTGCAATTTTTTTTCATTGCAGTGACAGAAAAATATTTTCATGAATATCTGACAGATTTAGGATTTAACTTTTTATGTGAAGATTTGTGTTCCCAGGTTAAATTACTGTTTGAATTTGTCATTCTCATCCTACAGGCCTGTTACATTAACAACCTAAAACATCATACAGAAACATTCTGGAGATACACCTTATCCAGCATCCACTGTTCAAGCAATTTAATTTCTCTATTTAAGCAAACACTGGATTACAAAGCAGAGGCACCAGAGATGATCTCGATGAGTTCCCTGGTGATGACAGCCTGTCTGGTACGGTTGAATTGAAGCGTCAATTTGTCGATCATTTCACCTGTAAGGGAATGCAAAAAAGTCAAGAGTCAGAGAGGACACAAGAGGGCAGTCTTCAGGATTTGGCTGACATGAAGCCTGTAAATGACCTTGTAAACATCTCATTATACCATAATCTCTAGTGATGGAAAGGTTTTCCATTAAATGAGTTTAAGAATCTAATCATATTTTTAAAGAGATATTTGGTGTCCAAACATCAAATCCAGTTAGTACAATAAAAACTGGACGATGAAAAAAAATGGATGGAAGCCCCAACATTAACATGAAGTCAAGCAAAAGATGTAGCAGGAGCAAATTCCTATCGACATGTACATGGGCCTTTCTAGACTTACCAGCATTCTTGGTGGCACTGTCCATAGCTGTCATACGTGAGCTCTGCTCGCTACAGTTACTTTCCATCATGCAATAATACAGGATGCTAACTAACTGGAACTCATTGTAGTTTTTCAAGATGTCCTCGTCTACATCATCGTAAACAGACATGTTGTCTGCAAATCAAGACCAATAGAAGTTGTAACACACTCACACGCACGCTGTTACTTTACTTTTTTTAACCATTTTTCACTGTTCCATTTAGTTCTCATCTAGGCACACAATATTAATTATCACATGTAAGAATGCAACAATGACATTTACATATACTAGATTCCTGTTAAAGCATTCCCTGATACTCCTCCAGAAAAGGTCTTTTTCCATATCCTGGCTGTTCATATCCTGGCTGTTCTATTGATTTTGTACATTCAACTTTCGTTGCAGTATTCTCAGATAATTTTTTTCATACAACCATCAAAATATCTAAACCAAGACATACTAAAAATAAGTACATGGATATGGTTTCTGTTACAGTGCTCCAAAGTTTTGATGTGGGATTTTTGTAAAGCACAGCAATACATCAGCACAATTAGAGTGCCAAAATGGACCAGCCACTGCTGTGTGAGTGCCAAAATGGACCAGCCACTGCTGTGTGAGTGCCAAAACGGACTAGCCACTGCTGTGTGAGTGCCAAAAC